CAATATGAGATATTTGAAATGATTATGTAACCATGTGGAAAACTGGGAATATATAGGATTTTTCATTACAAGAGAGAACTAAATGTTATAAGACATCAAATGGTTGTCAAGATTGTAAGAGGAGCCCTGATAGGATAAGCACACGGCTGTAAGGTCAACAGTTCAAACTCACCATTCTCTCCTTGGGAACCCAACACAGTGTCTCTATGAGTTGGAACTAACTGAATGACACTTAACAACCACAATGTTATAAGAATATTTTACATTTTTTCCTGATAGTGTTAAATACTATAGATTTTGTTCTCAATTATACTTTATCTTATGTTACCACATAAAAAGTAAAATTAACTTTAAAAGTAGATATCAGTGACTGACATCTAGTTATGAACCAAATAGTTCTTTAAAAGCACATGATCACTTTTTATTTTGCTTTACAAAAGCAGAAATCTCATCCAATATCTAAGTTAATTTATTAAACTAGAAAAACATTTTTGATTGATTATTACCCCTGTTTATACTTGAAACAATCTAACCATGAGATTGTGGTAATGTAAAATGGTAAATCTGAATATTAATACTAAGAATCTGTTTTTATATTGCATGTAGTGGCTCATAGAACATATTTCAGGACACATTTTTATGTATGGATTATAATGAAAACATGAACAAAATTGTACTACTACTAGCAACAGGCTTTTGTAGAGTAGAATTGTGATCCCGTTTATTTTTATTTGCTTTACCAAATCACTCTGAGTGAGTTAAAATACATCATTTATTTTCCAGATTGAATTTTTGAAGTGATTCCATTTATAAGATATTGTTGCTGTTGTTGTTTTCCAAAAAAAAAGTCTCAAGAATGAATTGTAGTATAAAATATGAATTAAATTTATCATTTGCTGTTGAATGCAAGATATAATACAGTTATTTAAACCAATACAAATGTTTCCCAGCCTACCCCTATTCCACTTCTTGTAGAACTAGAATACTAAGTTGTTTTTAAGTGGCTTCTAGTCAGTTCCAACTCATAGTGACCCTGTATAGGGTTTCAGAGGAGCAGCTGGTGGGTTCGAACTGCCAACTTTGCAGCTCAAACTGACCTTGCCATCCAGCGCATTATCCTGCAGCGCCACACCAAGAATCCTGAACAATACATCAGACCTTATAATCTTTATGGAACCTTGGTGTATGAAGTGTTGGAGCGCTCAACTCCAAACTGAAAGGTTTGTGCTTGAAACCCACCAGGGACGCTACAGGCGAAAAGACCTGGTGATCTGCTGTAGTAAAGGCTGTCACTATGGGTCAGAATCGACTCAACGGCACTCAACAACAACAACAAAGGCTGTTGTTGTGGTTATGTGCTGTCCAGTTGATTCTGACTCACATCTACTCTGTATAGGGTTTCCAGGAGTCCTGGTGTGGCGCTCTGGGTTAAATCGCTGGACTGCAAAGTCAGTTTGAACTGGAATTTTGGCAGTTCAAGCTCACCAGTCCTTCCTCGGAAACTCTATACAGGGTCGCTATGAGTCGCGAAGGGTTGAAACCGACTCGATGGCACACAACAACAGTTGTGTTACATATGTTCACTGAGTTGAAATCAACTTGATAGCATCCAAAATATATATATTAAAATATTCAATTCCAAAAAAATGGATTTTTTTGAAGTATATATATATATATATATATATATATATATATATATATATATATATATATATATACTTTAAATTATGTATATTTCAAATAGTTTGTGGAAAAATTCCATTATCTTTCAATTCCATTTTTCCACAAACTTTTTGAAGCCCCCTTGTGTATACAGTCACACGCATTTTATATATTTGTGTATCTTTTAATTATCTATGAAATTATGATGGTTGTAGTTCATCATACTAACATACAAAAGCATTTAAAAGACTATTTTCTCTTTCATATGCTGACATTGAATATAGCATATTTCATGTATATTTTTGATACTGTCTTAAAAATAATTTATCCCATTTCGAATTGGCTTTTCCACTACTAATTCTGCCCAAATATTGAAAAGTATAAATTAGGCAAGGTGAATAATGTCAATGTAAGAAACATGTACAAAATAAATAAAGGATGCATTTTGTAATTCTTAACATCAATTTTAAATTGTTTTTTAAATAGAGAATATATTTGTTTCATTATTATTCTAATTAAAATCTTTGTGTGCTTAATTGAACATATTATTTTCTTCTATATTAGGTAACACAGATTTGATTAATAGAATCTTGCTGGATGCAGGTTTTACAAATGAACTTGTCCAGAATTATTGGAGTAAGCAGAAAAACATGTAAGTATATGGTCCTTCTTAAAAAAAAAAAAAAAA